CCCCCCCCCCATAGAGGAATGGGAATGGAACCCAGTAGAGAAACTTCAGGAAAATCTTTAAAATTCTGACCTAAGAAAGAGGTAACAGGATTTTAACCTTATTTGGTGTAGGGCATCCTTTTGCCGTAAGTGATTCAGTGTTTTATAAACGGAGGGTGTGGTGCTCCTTGAGGCAGAGGATGGGTTGCTATATGGGAAATATTGTAGTTGTTCAAAATACTACTTTTTAGTGGAGTAAAGGGATTTTAATCTGGATCTGTCTCGAGCGTCTAAGTGGACTCGTCATTGTATGAAAGGAGAGTTTGGCATTCCTGGAGACAGAGAGACATGTCCCAGTAGTAGAAATACAGGAAAATAAAGGAGAGTGTGGCCTTCCTGGTGACAGAGGGACATGGCCCCGTAGTAGAAATACAGGTAAATAAAGGAGAGTGTGCCCTTCCTGGTGGCAGAGGGACATGTCCCAGTAGTAGAAATACAGGTAAATAAAGGAGACTGTGACCTTCCTGGTGGCAGAGGGACATGTCCCAGTAGTAGAAATACAGGTAAATAAAGGAGAATGTGACCTTTCTGGTGACAGAGGGACATGGCCCAGTAGTAGAAATACAGGAAAATAACAGAGAGTGTGGCCTTCCTGGTGGCAGAGGGACATGTCCCAGTAGTAGAAATACAGGTAAATAAAAGAGAGTGTGGCCTTCCTGGTGACAGAGGGACATGGCCCCGTAGTAGAAATACAGGTAAATAAAGGAGAGTGTGACCTTCCTGGTGACAGAGGGACATGGCCCAGTAGTAGAAATACAGGAAAATAACAGAGAGTGTGGCCTTCCTGGTGGCAGAGGGACATGGCCCAGTAGTAGAAATACGGGTAAATAAAGGAGAATGTGACCTTCCTGGTGAAAGAGGGACATGGCCCAGTAGTAGAAATAAAGGTAAATAAAGGAGAGTTTGACCTTCCTGGTGGCAGAGGGACATGGCCCAGTAGTAGAAATACAGGTAAATAAAGGAGAATGTGACCTTCCTGGTGAAAGAGGGACATGGCCCAGTAGTAGAAATAAAGGTAAATAGAGGCATACACTAACATTCAGATCGTGATGCAACGAAAATCCGAAAAAGTGCATCGCGGTGAATCGTAACACCTCTTATCACTAGAAAGGACTAGTTACTGACCATTAGAAACTCAACGGACGAAAAGGTCTTGTAACTGACCACTAGAAAGTGTAATGGCTAGAAAGAACTAGTTACTGACCATTAGAAACTCAACGGACGAAAAGGTCATGTAACTGACCACTAGAAAGTGTAATGGCTAGAAAGAACTAGTTACTGACCAATAAAAACTTAACGGACAATAAGGTCTAGTAACTGACCACTAGAAAGTGTAATGGCTAGAAAGAACTAGTTACTGACCAATAGAAACTTAACGGACAAAAAGGTCTTGTAACTGACCACTAGACAGTGTAATGGCTAGAAAGGACTAGTTACTGACCAATAGAAAAGGTCTTGTAACTGGAACAGTTCTAGAACAGTTCTAGAACATCAAGAACAGTTCTAGAACTGTAAGAATACCAAGTTCTAGAACATTTGTTCTAGAACTGTTCTAGAACATTTTTCTAGAATAGATCAGGAACACTTCTAGAACTTTAATGTGTTGTTGAACTGTTCTTTAAATGTTCTGGAACACTTTTTGAACACTTCTAGAACTAAATAAGTTCTTGAAATGTTCTACAAATGTTCTAATCACAATTCTAGAACACTTTTGGAACACTTAAAGAACTTACCAAGTGCTTGAAATGTTCTACAAATGTTCTAATCACAATTCTAGAACACTTTTTTAACACTTCTAGAACTAAATAAGTTCTTGAAATGTTCTACAAATGTTCTAATCCCAATTCTAGAACACTTTTATATCAATTTTAAGTCATTTAAAAGTTCCAGAAATGTTCTGAATGACCTGTTATAGACATTATAATACTAAAAAACTCAATAACTGCCCTAGCTCTTCAAGGATATGTTCTTGTGTTCAATAATTTTCATTTGCATGTAACAAGAAGTTCTTCACATGTTCTACCACATGTTCTACAAGAAGTTATACGAGAAAAAAAATGACACCAAGAATAGCTTTTCAATCATCACATCATTATACTCTCAGATGTATTGGTGTTTGCAAATTGAAGAAAACAAAATTGAGAAGAATTGCCCAGACAAGAATGCAATAATACATATTCTTGTCTGATGAAAACAAACAGGCATTTAATTAAACATTAAACTTGGTATTTCAGTAAATTGTCATTAAGTCTAGAAACTTTCGTAAACTCAGGAAATACATAGTTCAGATTTCCTATGTGTTATTGTATGTGGTCACATTTGATCACTTGAAAACAGCATGTCCATAACCATGGGGCATGTGAACAACATAAATTGTATGGACCGCATTTCTTTCATTATTTGTGTTCAGGTACACCAAAACATCCTGAAGATCTTCCACGTCTCTAACCTCCAGGGTTTCTGTATGTCGAACAGCGATGTAATGGCTTGCTACCCTGATTGCTTGCATCTGTGAAGTTGGTATTTTGTTTAGTTTTTCAATGACTGCGTACACTATGTTATTGCACATGATGAAACATTTGATTGAGCCAATCTCACCATCACCATAACTCACAACACTACAAACTCTTTTTTGCATTCGACTGTATTGTTCACTGTAAAATCGCTTTTCATTTACCACGATCCTGTCTACTTTCTTCAACCTATGCAAGTTCTCCTGAATTATGTCTTGAAGCTGTTCCTTCACCTCATTATCGAGTTCATCAACTTTTAAGGGTTTTGCAGCTCCTGCCACATCACAGTTGAGGACTTTTTGTGTTATTTTCCAACTTTTCTTCTTTTTGAGTTCAAGTCCTTTCCTCCTGATACATGATTGGGCTTGCCTATACTTCATTATTTGCTTTAACACTATTCCAGTTCCATGAACTGCTTGGAGGAGCATTGCATTCACATCTTCAAATGGGAAACAACTGAATGCCCAAAGTGGTCCCCAGAGCTTGACATACTCGTACAAATGCATCCCTGTATTGTGTACATTAAGACCACATGATCCATCTCCGTACAATTGCTGGAATGATCCATAAAACTGATCCAAGAGCTCGAAAGCTTTTTCAAGTAACTGTTGAGTAATGCAGTCTCCAAGTAGGATGTGGATTCCCTCAGACAGACAGGCCAGATTTTCCAAGTATTCTTCTTTTAGAAAAGGTGATACACAGGGAAAGGCATAGTAAAGAAGCCATGACTGTAATTCAGTGGCCTTGAAATGTTGATAATGTTTTTCTAGGTCTCTTGGCAGTCTTTCTATGCTATCTGGAGGCTTGATATTCTTCATTCTCCCAGATATTTCCTTCAGGTGATTTCCAATGAAGTAGTTTTTTTTACTCTCTGATGAAGAAAACCATTTATTCATCAAGGTCTTTGTTAGGCCAAGGAGAACTCCATGCATGTAGTCTGGGACTGTGCCAGACACAAGATCAAAACTTTGCAAGTGGGCAAGTCCAGACATTCCTTTGAATCCCATGGAACGATTTTTTGGCATACCTTACCTCATGTGTCGCAAGACAGACTCATGGTCTCGAGATCTGCTTCTGGTTCCTTGCAATCTGTATGGGAAACATTGAGCACTACCTTTGCCTTGTTTTACGCTCATTCCAGATTCCTCACATGTAATGCATGCATGTGATCCATTGAAATAAGTCATGTTTAAGAGCTCTGCTTTTGCTGGCAAGTCGGCAATTCCACAGACTACTGCTAGTTTCACACAGTAGATATTCTGGTAAATCTGGACTTGCACCCCATCAGTGTATAGAGAATTCATGAAATCACTAAAAGCTTTGCAATATTCCTGAAATGGTGGTTTTCCTTTTCCTTGTCAAATCCCTGCCAAAAGAATGTTCTCTCGAGAAAAGCGCTTTGCAGGACTTAATTTGTTGATAGCCACAATTATCGGCCATAGCCCCACTCTTGACGAAGAGTAAAGGTTAACACCATCTATATTAAATACTGCTGTCAAATTATGTGTTGTTTTGTCAAGAAAACTTTCATCTCTCATCATTGCACGATAGGCAGATCCATCGGATATGTCAGTCAGTATACCAGACCCCGACTCCAGACGTTCAAAGGCTTTACTCTTCGTGTTCTCAATATCTTCCCAGATACCTGCAGGAAAGTGAAACTTATGTCATTAAAAGTTTTCAAATTTTTCATCATCTTATAATTATACAAATCTCAGTGATTGAATATTGGGTGTGTTTCAATTCCAAGTTCTACATACTCAATTCAAACAAGTTGATCTGATGTTGTCACTATATTTGTTTCTCTTTATAGGTTGTGTCTAATTTTAGAATTGAACAATAAGCAGAATGTATAAACTCAAAGTAAGAAACTAGCTGTTACATTGTAAGTTACATGTATCATTAGAAACAGAAGCTTAAACCAAATCAATATTGAGGAAGAGTATATAAGAATATGCAACAAATACATTTTGGTGATTAAAACATTACATAGCCATTAGTATTAAATAGCATCCTATTATGGTGGGCTTTAAAGTTAAGCTAAATAACAATTTTATTACCAGGTGTTAGCAAAAGATCAGTCAACTGCTTCTTTACATCAGCAAACACAAAACATTGTCTTGGTTGTTGTGATTTTTTTTCCTGTGCAGCCAATGTCCCTTTGTAACGTAGTCCATTGCAGTTTCTGGTTTGGCACCGAAATACATTTCTATCTTCGGGAAAAACGTTGTTGCAGATAATACAATAATGTATCTCATGCACTGGAGTTGTATCAATAGAAGACATCATTTCCCCCAAGTCCAAATTAGAAATTTCCTCCGACTCGGTAAAAGTTGTCTTCAGTGTTTCTACCACATCTCTGCTGAAAATTGATTCCTCAAAAAGCAAGAGAGCAGTGATAGTGATTTGTATTCCTTTTCATGTATATCTGAATTTCTTTGTGTGTTCTCAACATCAAGGTCTTCATCAGAGTCATTTTTTGAATAAGAAGTATCAAGACTTGTGCAAGAGCTAACACTTTCTATATCAGTGTCGGTGTAAGTGTTCGAAGAAATGTCATTTAAACTATCAGTTTTAACACTTTCTACATCACTGTCTGTACAAGTATTCAAAGAAATATCTTTTAAACTATCAGTTTTAACACTTTCTACATCACTGTCTGTCCAAGTGTTCAAAGAAATATCATTTAAACTATCAGTTTCAGATTTTTCACTTTGCCTATCATGATCACTATCAACATCATCCAGTTTCAGTAACTTTCTAACATCATTATGTTCTTCTGAAGAAATTAGTGAACAGCTTTCTATGTTGGTTTCTTCAGAACTGAAAGAGGTTTCAAGGTCAGAATCAGGGATAGGAATTATTGCACATCCAACAAAGTTTTCGCTTGGAGTTTCCAGTGTTGAAACTGCTGGTAGCTGCAGGTCATTAAACACATACTCAGATGGCTCAGTGTGAACAACATGTGATTCAAGTGGCTGATCTTGGCAATCCACAGTTGAAGATNCAGATAATTCTGAAAGAGAGAAAACCTCTTTAAACAGAACTCAGTATTTGAATCTTTAAACAGAACTCAGTATTTGGTGTTATTTACTCTTATCCCCAAAATTCATCTGAATTTTTTAAAAAGATTTTGACCCATCAAATCAAAATGACAATAAAAAAGATAGCATGAGTTCCATTTTCGTTTTGATTTGAAGGTTATATCGTACTTTCCTGTGCAATATACACAGAACCATTGTTCAGAGGCCCTCTGGATCTGTTAGCATATTTACAAAGCCTTTTCAAAGTCTGTTTAGGAAAGGATAATTAGAAACCCCCAAAACATGCATAAAAATTTACACTCCTATTATTTAGATTTTTATTCAGTCATTGCAGTGTCATTAAATCATATCCAGTTTGTGGATAGTACTGGATACACATTTAGAATTTAAGGGTTTGATTTGTCCCAGCCTAAAACAATTACCTTCAGCATACAACTCCGAGTAATGTAGTGACTTTTTGGCTCCTGGTCCACTTAATTTCCTATTCTGCTTCAATCTGTACAAGGTTGAGCGTGGCACAGGGACAGATTCATCATCAAGGTATCTTTTTATTGCCCTCTTTACAGGTGCTTAAGTGAAAATATATCATTTCAAGATGACAAAAATACCAAAAAGCTGGTCATATCAAAATTATCAGAACTTAACAGGTTGGATACATTTTTCTATCATATGTCCAGATACTGATGCAATTTGAACAAGCAAAAAGTGGGAGATAATCAANAATGCAATTTGAACAAGCAAAAAGTGGGAGATAATCAAAATTAGAAAATGTCTAAAGAACACGCACTAGGGTGGAAAATTATTATTTTCATTTTTTTTTATCCTTAGCAAATTCATTCAACTGGCACCAATTGGTCAGATCACAGCATCACATTGTTAAGAAAGACTGAAAACTGACCAATATCAATACATAGCTATAGTCGGAAATATATATTACTGTTGTATATAATTAGGACTGACATAAAATGACTTGGCAGGAGTGTTGGAGGATTTACTCAATACGCCAATATCATTACAAAACCTATCGAAACTGTAAAATACTGATAAAATCATTGAAAATCATTCTTATTTTTTTTCACTTTTGTGGGGAACGTTTTAATGTATATGACGGATTTCTAACCCTAACACCCGATAAAGATTCACACACAGGGGCTCGTTACAAATGTCTGAAATACACATATGCATACATGTGTTGTGACCCATATCAGTTCATAGCATATATATGTGTATTTCAGACATGTGTAACGAACCCCTGTGGTTCACACGACACCCGAGTATTTAGCTATTTTAGTCGGCATATTCAGCATGATTATATTTGCAAAACAACGTACAATATAATGCATTGATATATAGTAATTTATTAATAGTTTGCATTATGAATTAAAAAGAACTATTGTAATGATATTACGGTGGTATAGGGAAAATTGTCCCGCCCGTCTTTTTTGGTAACGAAAACAAAACTTACTTAGATTGTGTATTTTGTGAAGATGCTCCAATATGCGCTGCTTTGAAGATAGAGTCCTTTTACATTTCAGACACAAAAACTTCCCATCGTCAGATTGACGGTAAAAGTATTGTTGTGTCGCCGATTCGGATGCCATTCTGCATTCTGTGCATCACACACACCATCAACGAGCCGCCATGCCGTTTTTCATTTCCGCCGTTAACGAGGCGCTTAACTACATCGGTGTACGTATGCGGCATACAAACGTATCAGTGATCAAGAGATTAATCTATTTTCGTAAAGTTGGAAATATTTTCTTTTTCAACCCTTTTTTTTTTTTTACATATTTAACATATACATTCACAGAAATATTTTTATAACACTAACCCAAACAAACAAAAATCTATTTAGGTTAGTTGCAAGTCCACGTGATCACGATAAAAACACCGAATGGTCAGCATCAGTATCAAGCCACCTCATTGGTCAATCAGTTGCGCGCACATTTTCACGTTCTGATCGAGATGGAAAACCAGAAGTTTGCAATCGTCCAATGGATTGACAGATTTACCAGTATTATAAACCTAGATGCAGTGAAATTTCCAAGAAAACCTCTGGAAGATTACACGGAAGGAGAATATGTTACAGCCCTATATGGGAAGAAGAAGTACGAAGCCAGAATCTCTGAAATATCTGGTAAGTCAAACCGCCCATGCCACGGTATCGTCCATTGATGATTTTGATTTTTTTATTGACAAACTATTTCTAAAGCTAAACTGTGCTCGTTACAGTAAATGCTATACAGCAATATGTCAATCTTAACGATGTCTTTTATTTTCATACTCTTAAAAGAGAGTTTGGTCGTTCTGATGTACCGCTCTCGTCTTAATAACGAATAATAGCGAGAACCTGCGTGATGATGCATCCAATATGGATGCCCAATATGTTTAGATCGAGTATGTGTTCCATTTCCGCCAAATAAACGGCAAATAAACACTGACAGGTAAGCGACATATCGAAAAACTTAGCAGAAAAAAATATGACAATGAATGAACTGATTAAAAATATGACAGAGATCTCTTCGTTTGAGTTGAACGCAGACAGAACTCGACTAGGCCACAGGGTGACTAGGCAGTGATTTTTAGGTCGGGGAAAAGTCAAGTTTAGTGAACTTAGTGATCCCATACACGGGACTACCCACGTGAAATTCATTTGTATATTTTATATTTGTTTTTATTTTGTACGATATTTTCATGAAGTGCACTCTGAAAGTATGTATACAGTTTGTAAACCAAAACAACAACTTCTGTCTACATTGTGAAAAACTGTCACTTGTATTTTCCAGATTTCACCTAAACTACTAGGCATAATTTTAAATATAACTTTCATGTTATTCTAAATGAACATGCGATCTCTCCATTTATTAAAACAGTTTTTCCTTTAATATATCTGGTATGCACCTTCCTGTGTGAGAATGTTCCCCATCAGCTGAAACAAATTGACCTGATGCATGACAAACATATATGGTTAAGACCATTTAAAAACGAGGGCTAGGGGTTTAAGGATAGCTTGTGTTTTACACACAGGTACATACAGGTATCAGTACCTGTGAACAAAATAGAAAGTAGAAACCTTAACAGGTGCTGATAATACCCGCAAGAATATAATAGAATACTCCACTTATTACAATATGTTGGAAATAGGATCAGACATGTTATTTATAATGGTTGACATATCAAGAAGCAAAGTTCTTTAAAAACGGTTTATTGAATCAATTCTATGTAAGTTTAAAGTGTTATTTGAAATAGCTGAGTGACAATTCCTCTTCCATTTGTAATTCAAAAGATGCAGACAGCAGTTTTACATGATAACTTAAGACCATAGTTTACAAGTCTAAACAAAATGTATTCCAAATTTCTAAAGTAGTTTCTTTATGTATGATTCATGAATTTAAAAATAAGTGCACATTCTGAATTTTCATTTGTGACAGATATTAAATTGTCATTTGTTTTTTTGTGTGTTTGTAATATATATATATTATGTGATTAGCAGATACATGACTGACTTACGTTTAATTAAGCTCTGTTAAAAATATTTCAGGAGATAGGACACATTTGGCTTCAAAGAAATCCAATGAAGGCAATTACCCTCTTAGCTTTGTTTATGAGGATCATGACGAACCCAGATCTCAAAGTGAAAGCCATGTGAAAAGGACAGCATCAGGTATGACTTATTAATGAGGCCAAACACATGAAAATTGATTTTCAACTAATCTATTCAAATAAAGTTTTAAAAAAATGTAAAAATATATGGGGGAAAAAATACCTCTAAAATGATGGCAATTGTCACATATGGTATTGAGAGGATGTCCCCCAATGACATGGACACGTTTTTTAAGTTTCCAGTCTTGTGTCATTTTAAATTTATGGTATTGATAGATAATATATATATATTTCAGCTGACCAGGTTCCTGCATCAGATACCGAAAAGCAGTCAACTCTGGATACAGTTGGACCTAGTAACTCAGGTGGTAGGTAGCATTACTAGTATATATGACAAGTGGTAAACTTGAATATGATGTTAACACATCAATTAAAATTGCTCGTTTCTACACAATGAATTTTATTTCTTGAAGTGTCTTGCATCAATTTGTATTGATAGTGATGTAGAATTATATTTGTTTCAGACCATGTACCTGCATCAGATACCGAAAAGCAGTCAAGTCTTGATGCAGGTGGCCCTAGCACAGGTGGTATGTATTACAGACTAGTTTCTATGAAAAGTCAATGCATGATCTTTTTAAATTGCTCATGAATATTTCAGCTACAAAATGAATTTCCTGACATGAAGTGTCTTGCATCATTTGAAATTGATAGTGACGAGAATTAATTATATTTTTTTCAGGCCAGATACCTGAATCAGATGCTGCAAAACAGACTGAAAAGCAGGCTAGCAGAGATACAATTGGACCTAGCTCATGTGGTAGGTAGCATTACTAGAACCATGGAAGTCCAAATCGTTTCGGATTTTTATAGACCCATATTAGGCCAAAATATTCTGTTTCCTGTTACCCTACAAACCCTAGATTTTTGTGTCTCAACCTAAACTTTTTATTGGCATTTAGTGATAATACTGTTACACAGTCAACTTTGTTGGCTTTATTTTGATGACTTGTAGTAGTGTGCTTTCCATTTCGGAATTTGATTCCACAAGTTTCGAAATAGTTATTGGTCTTTTTTATATGCTTGCCAAAATTTTTGACGCGACATAATGTTGTCGGGGGAGCAATGCATTATAATACAGACCTCCTGCTTATATATTGGTAAAAACTATAAAATTCACCATTTTGATACTTGAGTTTTGAGTCAAATATCAAAATTGTTTTTTTATTAATCATTATTATATTTACATCAGTTTTCAATATTTCAGATACGTCAGTGCCAGAATTGCCAAATTTATTTCCAAGAACACCAACTGCTACTCCTGTCAGCTCTTATTCTAGGTAACCATTTTCTGTGAATCTTCATTTACTAAAACAGTTTAAACATTTAGGACAATATGAAAATGTTTAAAGAAACCAGAAGGTGTGTTTGAGTACTTGATAGTAAAATGACCTTGGATAATTGTAATATTACGTGATTCAATAGTTTTATGAAAGCCTTCATTGAATAAACAATATCGATACAGTAGAATTTGTCATCACACAACAAAATTTCACTTAAAGTGTATAAGTATCACAGCTGTTACAAGCATATCAGCATGTGTTACATAACAATTAACCCAATTGTTATACTAGAATCTAAAATGGTGCATAGTGATCCACTAAGGGGAAAAAATAATCATGAGTGATAGGGATAGGGATCACAAAAAAATGTCGCCCCATATACAATATTTCCGGAATAACCCAAAGGCAATATATATAAATTTATAATGTGTCATGTTCAGTACAAGTCTAGTTAATAAATGTATATAAGTCATTTAGTGTGTTCATTTTTATCTATTTTCAGTAAAAGGAAACTGGAAAGAAAAGTAGACCAGCTCGAGAAGGATGTCAAGGAGCTGAGGGGAACAGTTAAATCTTTGAATAAAAGATTGAAGGCATTCGAGGAGAAAGAAGCTGACACTACTCCGTCAAAAATGCTGGGGTCTGGTGCGTGTTCAGACTCAATGAATTCGGACAGTGGGTTTGAGGAACTGATGTCCGCAGTGTCCCATCTTCCAGGGATCATTGAAAAAGACATAAATGCAGTTGTAAGGCGCACTTCATTGAAAGTGTTTAGTGCAGCAGAAATACTTGGCTGCACCAGAACGGGGAAAAAGACTGTTAAGTGTGGGGAGACAGCAAAACAGCTCTTGGCAACCAGAAGTTAAGACTGGTGGAGAGGGTTGTTGTTTCGAAGTGCCCAGCAGTGACAACAGATATTTTTAATAAAAAAAATGACAATTTGTTAAAAATGGAAAGGAGGAACCACTCGGTGAAGGAACAACTATGAGGGTCAGGGTTGACTAGTCCTGGACTAGTAGATATATATTTCAGCAAGGACTAGTGAATCACCTAACCTAACTGATCCTTTGGACTTGTGAAAAATACGAATATAAAATAAGAATATTTCTTTTTATATGCCCGTCAAATTTGACGGGAGTATTATGGTATGGCGTTGTCCGTCCGGCGTAAACTTTTGTTTGTCCGGCAATCTCCTCCTACATTTTTTAACGGATCTCTTTGAAACTTAGTAGGCTAAATAATCATGATATGTTGTTGTGTTTCCTCGAAAAGAATTTTGATTCGACAATTTTTTTAAAAGTTATTGCCCTTTGTTCATTTCAGTATTTGATTTTTTTTTCCAGAGATTTTCTCCTACATTTTTAGGTCACCTGAGCTTTGCTCAAGTGACCTATTCCAATCGCTTTTCGTCCGTCGTCGTCCGTCGTGCGTCGTGCGTAAACTTTTACATTTTCAACTTCTTCTCAAGAACCAGTGGATGGATTTTTTTCAAACTTGGTCAGAATCATCCTTGGTAGATGAGGCTTCAAAATTGTAAAATTGGGATTCCTACCCCAACCCCTGGGGCCAGGGCGGGGCCCCAAAGGGAAAATTAATCAATATTTCAAAAATCTTCTTCTCCAGACTCAGAGGTACTACAGTGATTTTCTCTACGTGGAAAGAAAGATCATCAGGGGCTTTACTTAAATTGTAAATTTCAGGACCCCCGAGCTATCCGTTCTCCCTTGGGGAGGGGGTAAAGTTTACTATAGTTTATATAGGGAAATAACACTTTTGGGTATATTTTGACAACTTTCTGTAGGAAATTATTTTTACTTGGTGAGAATTATCCTTGGAGGTAGATGGTTTCAAATTGTAAAATTGAGATTCCTACCCCGACCCCTGGGGCCAGGGCGGGGCCCCAAAGGGAAAATTAATCAATATTTCAAAAATCTTCTTCTCCAGACTCAGAGGTACTACAGTGATTTTCTTTACGTGGAAAGAAAGATCATCAGGGGCTTTATTTAAATTGAAAATATCAGGACCCCGAGCTATCCGTTCTCCCTTGGGGAGGGGTTAACGTTTAATATAGTTTATATAGGGAAATAACACTTTTCGGTATATATTTTATCCATTTTCAGCAGAAAATTGCTCAAACTTAGTCAGAATCATCTTGGGTAAATGAGAGTTTTACTTTGTAAAATTAGGATTCCTGCCCCATCCCCAGGGGCTAGAGCGGGGCCCCAAAGGGAACATTTACCAATATTTTCAAATTCTTATCTATTGATGACATGACAAGTATTGTATTTCACTTAGTTTACATGCTGATTTCCACATCACATCTAAACAATAAAATAAAGCTACCAGTATCTATGATATAACTCAGGTGACCGCTAAGGCCCTTGGGCCTCTTGTTAAAGCATGTCAGCTAATCACTCTTTGAATGATGCAGATCTTATTTCAATGTAAGAAAGTATATAACACTATATGGCATTCGACGGACGTATATTGTTCCGCCCCGCGATACTCTTATATTAAGATATATTGCATGATGATTGTCAACATTTTCCGATAACTTCACCATATTTTTATGCCAGTAGTTCTTTTGATGCTTTTGTGCTGTAGATCACATTTTTTTCCTTATCGGGAAATCTTGGACTAGTTACATTGATGAAGGATTATTAAATCATTTATTTATCTAGTCCTATGGAATACCAATGCAAGCAAAACAAGTTAGTGTCTAACCCTGAGAGTTGCCAAGAAATAACATTTTAATGAATGAATTTTATGAATTTAAATTACATTGTGTTTATTTTTTTATTATAACAGCAATGCAAGTTCTTCTCATTGTCATTGAAGGCCGACCTTCCAATCACCTTTGGTGTAACAATTGTTATTAACATCATCCTCCATCACTTACGATTGTTACAATACATGGTAGGTGTCTTTAACGAAATATTCTGGGACTATTTTAGAATTTTCAGTGAAGTGTTCTAGAACTGTCCTTCAAAAGTTCTAGATCTTAATTTGTCTCAATATGTTTTGTAATTAGAACATTTCTTGAACCAATGTTCTAGAACAGTTGTAGAACTAAAGAACATTTAACATTCTAGAACTGTTCCTGAATTGTTCTAGAACAGATGAAGAGTAGTTCTAGAACAGTTCCAGCACATTAGTTCTAGAACAATTCTAGTAATATTCTAGAACTCGTGTTCAAGAACAGTTCTAGTAAAATTCTAAACTTGTGTTCTAGAACAGTTTTAGAATATTGTCCCCAAAAAATGTTCCAGAACAGTTCTAGAACAAATGTTCTGGTAAATTTGTCTCAGTTAACATTCTAGAACTGTTTTTGAAGTGTTCTAGAACATATCAAGGTCAGTTCTAGAACGTTCTAGAAAATAAATACTGGAACAGTTCTGGTAAATTTCTAGAACTGTTCTAGACTGTTTCGCAGGGGTGAGGTATAGGGACTAATGTACTGAAGGTAAAGGGATTAAGGTACTGAGGTATAGGGAGGGACTAAGGGACTGAGGTAGAGGGACTAAGGGACTGAGGTAGAGGGACTAAGGGACTGAGGTATTGTGACTAAGGGACTGTGATATAGGGACTAAGTGACTGAGTTATAGGGACTTGGGGACAGAAAGAATAGGGACTAATGGACTAAAGATAAAAGGACGAAGGGACTGAGGTATAGGGACTGATGGACTGATGTATAGCGACTAAAGGAAAGAAGGCATAGGAGCTAATGGACTAAGGGTAAAGGGGCTAAGGGACTGAGTTATATAGACTAATGAATTGAGGGTAAAGGGACTAAGGAACTGAGGTTATAGGGAATAAGGGAATGATGTATAAGGACTAAAGGACGGAGGGAATAGGGACTAATGGACTGAAGGTATATGGACTAAAGGACTGAAGAATAGGGACTAATGGACAGAGGGTATACGGACTAACGGACTGAGGGGAAAGGGACTAATGGATTGAGGGTAAAGTATAGGGACTAAGGGTATAGGGACTAAAGGATTGAGGTATATGGACTATGGGACTGAGGTATAGGGACTAATGGACTGAGGGTAAAGGGACTAAGGGACTGGGATATAGGGACTAAGGGCCTAATGAATAGGGACTTATGGACTGAGGGTATTGGGACTAAGGGAATGAGGAATAGGGACTAATTGACTGAGGGTAAAGAAACTAAAGGACTGAGGGACTAAGGGACTGAGGGGACAGGGACTAATGTACTGGAGGTAAAGAGATTAAGGTACTGATGTATAGGGACTAAGGAACTGAGATTATAGGGAATAAGGGAATGATTGATAAGGACTAAAGGACAGAGGGAATAGGGACTAATGGACTGAAGGTATAGGGACTAATGAATTGAGGTATAGGGACTAAGGGACTGAAGAATAGGGACTAATGTACAGAGGGTATAGGGACTAAGGGACTGAGGGGAAAGGGACTAATGGATTGAGGGTAAAGTATAGGGACTCAGGCTAAAGGGATTAAGGGACTGAGGAATAGGGACTCATGGGCCGGTGTATAGGGACTGAAGGAAAGAAGGAATAGGAACTAATGGACTAAGAATAAAGGGGCTATGGGACTGAGGTATATAGACTAATGAATTGAGGATAAAGGGACTAAGGAACTGAGATTATAGGGAATAAGGGAATGATGTATAAGGACTAAAGGACAGAGGGAATAGCGACTAATGGGCTGAAGGTATAGGGACTAATGGATTGAGGTTTATGGACTAAGGGACTGAATATTAGGGACTAATGGACAGAGGGTATAGGGACTAAGGGACTGAGGGGAAAGGGACTAATGGATTGAGGGTAAAGTGTAGGGACTCAGGCTAAAGGGATTAAGGGACTAAGGGTATAGGAACTAAGGGACTGAGGTATAGGGACTAAGGGACTGTGGTAAAGGGATTAAGTGACTGAGTTATAGGGACTAAGGGACAGAGGGAATAGGGACTAATGGACTAAAGATAAAAGGACGAAGGGACTGAGGTATAGGGACTGATGGACTGGTGTATAGGGACTAAAGGAAAGAAGGAATAGGAACTAATGGATTAAGAATAAAGGGGCTAAGGGACTGAGGTATATAGACTAATGAAATGAGGGTAAAGGGACTAAGGAACTGAGATTATAGGGAATAAGGGAATGATTGATAAGGACTAAAGGACAAAGGGAATGGGGACTAATGGACTGAAGGTATAGGGACTAAGGGACTGAGGGGAAAGGGACTAATTGATTGAGGGTAAAGTATAGGGACTCAGGCTAAAGGGATTAAGGGACTGAGGTATAGGGACTCATGGACTGGTGTATAGGGACTGAAGGAAAGAAGGAATAGGAACTAATGGACTAAGAATAAAGGGGCTAAGGGACTGAGGTATCTAGACTAATGAAATGAGGATAAAGGGACCAAGGAACTGAGATTATTGGGAATAAGGGAATGATGTATAAGGACTAAAGGACAGAGGGAATAGGGACTAATGGGCTGAAGGTATAGGGACTAATGGATTGAGGTATGGGGACTAAGGGACTGAATAATAGGGACTAATGGCCAGAGGGTATAGGACTAAGGGACTGAGGGGAAAGGGACTAATGGATTGAGGGTAAAGTATAGGGACTCAGGCTAAAGGGATTAAGGGACTGAGGTATAGTGACTACGGGACTGAGGGTAAAGTATAGGGACTAAGGGTATAGGAACTAAGGGACTGAAGTAAAGGGACTAAGGGACTGATGAATAGGGACAAATGGACTGAGGGTATAGGGACTAAGGGACTGAGGAATAGGGACAAATGGACTGAGGGTATAGGGACTAAGGGACTGAGGTATAGGGACTAAGGGACTGAGGAATAGGGACAAATGGACTGAGGGTATAGGGACTAAGGGACTGAGGAATAGGGACAAATGGACTGAGGGTATAGGGACTAAGGGACTGAGGGGAAAAAGACAAATGAAATGAGGGTAAAGTATACGGACTAAAGGTATAGGGACTAAGGGATTGCAGTATAGTGATTAAGGGACTGAGGGTATAGAGACTACTGATCTGAGGGTAA